TAGGCTTCTTACTGACTAGCTCTCTCTTAATTATTAACATATTATTAATAATTTGTGTATCTCCACATGGTTTTGTCTTACTGGAGAATGCCCAGACATACTACCTCCCTGGTGGCTCCATGGTGTTTCTCTGACTCTTACCTCTCCAGTGACTCCATGGTGTCTCTCTCATTCTATTAACTCTATCCTTGTTCAGATTTCCTGCCTGGCTAAATTCTGCCTGACCATTGGCCAAAATAGCTTTATTCATCAACCAGTAAGAGCAACACATATTTGCAGCATACAGAAAGACATCCCATACCAACTATGTGATTTTTTAGCTGTAGTAACGTTTCTTTCATGAACTTGAGTGCCCTTGTGTTTGTTGTATAGATGTTAATAATTACAATGGCCTTGGTGGATTTTTCCTTTATCTAGTGTCATTTCCTATCTCTTCTGATTAGTTTTGAAGTTTATTTTGTCAGACACTAAAATGGCTACACCAGCTTGCTTCATAGGTTCATTTGCTTGAACTATCATTTTCCTGAGGTGATGTCTACCCTTGATGTTAAGGTGTGTTTCTTGGATGCAGCAGAAGGATGAATTCTGTTTTTGTATCCATTTCATTATTCTGTGTCTTTTTACTGGGGAATTGAGATCATTGTTGATTAATAGCAATGAGCAGTATTTGTTGGTTTCTGTTATTTTGTTGTGATGTCTGTGTGTGTTCCCCTCTTTTGATTTGTCTCATTAACTCTTAGGTTGGAGCTTTCCATCTAGTGCCTGTCTGGATTTGTACATAGATATTTCTTAAATTTGGTTTTATCACGGAATGTCTTATGTTTTCCATCTATTGTGATCAAAAATTTTGCTGGTTATAGTAATCACATTTATTACCTGTGGTCTCTTAGGGTCTGTAGAACATCTGTCCAAGTCGTTCTGGCTTTTAGAGTCTCCATTGAGAAGTTAGGTGTTATTCTAATAGGTCTGCCTTATATTATTTGGTCTTTTCCCCTCAAAGCTTTTAATATTCTTTCTTTGTTCTGTATGTTAAGTGTGTGTGTGTGTGTGTGTGTGTGTGTGTGTGTGTGTGTGTGCCAAGGGGAAATTATTTTCTGGTCCAGTCTATTTGGTATTCTGTATGCTTCTTGTACCTTGATAGGCATCTCCTTTATTAGGTTAGGAGAATTTTCTTCTATAATTTTATTGAAAACATTTTCAGTATCTTTGTCCTGGGTTTCTTCTCTTTCCTCTATTCCATGGATCTCAACCTGTGGGCCACGACCCTTTTGGGGTCAAATGACCCTTTCACAGGGTTTGCCTAAGACCATCAGAAAACACAGATACTTACATTAGAATTCCTAATAGCAAAAATAAAGTTATGCAGTCAATGTTCTACCATGGAGCTATAATCCCCAAATTAAAGTTATGACGTAGCAATGAAAATAATTTTATGGTGGGAGGTCAGCACAATGTGAGGAACTATTATTAAAAGGTCACAGTAGCATTAGGATGGTGGAGAACCACTGTTGCATTCCTGTATTCTTTGATTTGGTCTTTTCACAATGGGCTAGATTTCCTGGATGTTTTGTGCCAGGATGATGATTATGGTGGTGGTGATGATGATGATTTTTATTTTAAAGACTTAACATTTTCAGCCAGGCATTGGTGGCACATGCCTTTAATCCCAGCACTCAAGAGGCAGAGGCAGGCGGATCTCTGTGTGTTCGAGGCCAACCTGGTCTACAGAGTGAGTTCCAGAACAGGCTCCAAAACAATACAGAGAAACCCTGTCTCAAAAAACAAAAACAAAAACAAAACAAAAAGATTTAACATTTTCTTTGTGGTATCCATTCCTTCTATAGTGTCTTCAGTGCCTGAGATTCTCTCTTCCATCTCTTATATTCTGCTGGTTACGCTTGCCTCTAAAGGTTCCTATTCAAGTTCCTAAGTTTTTCATTTCCAGATTCCCCTCAGTATGAGTTTTCTTTGTCTTGTGCTTCTCTTTGTTACAATACTCAGGGCCTACTGTGGTGGTGGTGTTGGACTCCAGCGGAGACATATCTGGCTTTTACTGATTGTGTTTTTATCCTAGTATCTAGAGCTTCTGTTTGTTTCTATCCTGGGTCTCTGGGCTGTCTAGCCTCTGGTTCCTGGCCCTTCAGGCAGTGAGATCCATCCCTCTTGTGGCATGGATCTCAGGCTGGAACAGTATTAATTGGCCACTCCCACAATTTCTGTGCCACCTTTACCCCAGCACATGTTGTAGGCAGGACAAATTATAGGTGGAAGGTTTTGTGGCTGGGTTGGTGTCCCAGTCCCTCCACTGGAAGTCTTGTCTGGTTACAGGAGATGGATGGTTCTGGCTCTGTATCTCTTATTCAGCAATGAGTTCTTAAATCTCCATGAACTTGTGTATTTACTAGAGATATTTTTGCTGTCTATTTTAAGTTTTAACTGTATCATGGTTAGATAGGATACTACAAGCAATTTCAATCTTTTTGAATTGTAAATATTTGTTTTGTGTCTAAGGATGTGGTCTGTTTTAGAAATAACCTTCCATGTGCTGCTGAGTAGAACATGTATTCTTTGGTTTGGGTGGAATGTTCTGTAGATAAGTGCATTTGATTGATGAATAATGTCAGTTAATTCTGATACTCCTCTGATGATTGTTTTGTCCAGGTGACCTATCTATTGGACAAAGTAGATTATTAAAATCACCTGCTATCATGGATTGAAATCAATTAAGTCCAGTAGATTTAAAATAAAATTGGGAGCACCACAGTTTGGTTCATACATGTTTAGGATAGTAATGTCTTCTTGGCTAGTCTTCTGATTAGTTCAGTTGAAGTCTTATTTTATCAGGTACTAGGCTAGCAATGCCTGCTTGCTTCCTGGTCCCATTTGATTGGAGTACTTTTGTCCATCTTTTACTCTAAGGCAGTACCTATGTTTAAAACCAAATGTTTCTTGTAGGCAACAAATAGATAAATCTTGTTTCTCAATCTACTTAATCTGTGTCTTTGATTGGAGAATTGCACCCATTAGTATTTAAAGTATTACTGAAATGTGTGTGTTAATTGTGGTCACTGTGGTGGTGTGTTCTCAATGGTAACTTGTCTTTTAATAATCATGGATCTGTATTTCTTTCTAGCCTTTCTGTTATGCTCAGTCCCTTCTCTTCAGCGTGAACTAACACTAAATTTCTTAGATTTGGTTTATTGAACGTAAAGTATTTCAGGCAGTTATGTTATGGAAAGGTTTTCTTTATCCAATGTGGCTGATAGATTTGCTGGGTATATTAGTTCAGTTTGGCCATCATAGCTTCCACTGAGAAATCAGCTGTTATTCTGATGGATTTTCCTTTATATGTGACTTGAAGTTTTTTGTTTTCCTGTAGCTTTCAATACACTTTCTTTGTTTTGTATACTTAATGTTTTAATTATAATACGCCCATAGGGATTTTCTTTTCTGGTCTTGTTTATTTGGTGTTCTGTGTGCTTTTTGTATCTGTATGAGTATATCTTTGCTTAGTTTGGGGAAATTTTCTTCTATGCTGTTAAGATGTGTTCTATGCCATTAACTTGGGATTCTTTTCCCTCATCTGTGGCTATATTTAGAAGATTGTTTTTGTCACTGTATCCCACATATCTTGTGTGTTCATTTCCTGTCGTTTTTGTTTTTTTAATTTTTTCATATTCCTTGCTTATTTGGTCTAGATCTTCTACTTTACTGTGTGAGTCCTGATATTCAGCCTTCTGCTTGATTCATCCTACTTGTAAGGCTCTCCTTTGAGTTTCTAGTTGAGCTATTGGGTATTTTAGTTCCATCTTTATTCAGCTTTGAGTCCAGTATTTTTTATCTCCCAATTGAATTTCATCTCATGTCTTGTCATTTCCACTAGCCTTATGTTTGTGCTTTCTTGGGCATCACTCTGGCGTTTAGTCTCTTTAGGTCTTTCTTCTTAATTTCATTGAGCTGTGTCTTTGTGTCTTCGGTAAACTCCAAGAATTCTGTGTCCTGGAGTTCATCTAGGTAATTCTCATGGGCAAACATATGTACAGGACTTACACAGGATTTGAAGAGAACATACTGGCTTGATCTTTCAGATTCTTGGTATTCTTGGGATGAGATCTGGCATGTGGATTTCTTTTGTTCTGATTTTGTTATGGACAGAAAAGAGGAAGCGTATGTGGGTTGGATCTCTAGGTTGAAAATGAGCACAATGAAGTCAGGTCTGGAGAGAGGGGATTGGGCTGGCATACAGAATGTGTTTTCTTTTCCAAGCATGGAAGCTAGAGGTAGATTTGGCTGTGTTGAAAAGTTGGATATGGCCTGGGAGAGTCCTGTGGTTTGAGGGATAAGCAAGGAAGATCCTGACCCAAGTCTAGAACTCCTTTGCAGTGCAACCAGGGAAGGTCAGACTAGGCTGCCATACTGGTTGTGGAACACAGGCTAGGTTTGGCTAGTTGTGGAAAAGGAATAGATGGGAGGTCAGGGGAACTCACCTGGTTAGAACCTGGGAGAAGGATGTGGGAAGTGTGGGTACCAAGTTGGAAGCCTCTCAGAAAGGTTGCATGGGTGGTTGTAGGTTGGGGCAGGTCATGGGATGTGGGACCTAGGCTAGTCCCTGGAGGGAATATGAGGAGTCTGGATACCAAGTAGGGTGGTTGGAAACTATGCAGAAGGGAGCTGTGGGTGGCTGCAGGTAGGGCAGGTTGTAGTACACGCCCTGGCTGCATCATAGGTGGGACGCCTAGAGATTAGCTGCTGTGCAGGTGGGGGTGGTCAGACTGGGCTGGCACTGGTTGCAGGACCCTGACTAGATATGACAGGTTGGGGAAGAGGGGTAGGTCGGGAGCTCTGGGGTACATACCAGGCTAACCACAGAGGCGAACATGATATGTTCCAGTACAAGTTGGGTGGTAGAGGCATGCTGGGAGGGTTCTGGTGGGAGCTTAGTGCTTGGCTACAGGGCAGGCGGGGAGTGGTCAGCTTTTGAAAGAGTGAGCAGACTTGTAAAGGACTTCAATGAAGGTCACATTTATTGACCTAACTTTTGCTGGTACTTGCATAACAGTTTACAACTGGCCAAAACTAAAATTTTCTGGCTGTAATCAACCAGAAAAAAAAAAAAAAGGTTAATTGCATTTTCTTGAATATTCAATATTCATTCAAGTTTCAGGTTTTCCTGCTGGGGTCATGGCTCTCCTGAGGAAGTTATTTTCTCTGTCAGTCACTCATGGATCCTCACTGGCTAAAATTCCAGATATGGTGAGTAGAATTCATCTTCTATCTTCCTGAATTATATCTAGGAAATAAAAAAAGTCTGAATAAAATACCTAAATTATTTTAACATCTACCATAGCTGTTAGATATTCCATCTCTTCCACATCATTGCCATGTCCGATGGTTGTTTGCTTAGAGGAAACCTAGTCTGTATTCCATTCCAGAACAAGTCTTAATTGATCTTAGCACTAGAAGATCACCTTTCTCTCTCCCTCTCCCTTGCTGTTAAGATTTTTACACTCAAGTTCCTATGGCTTATAAAAATCAAAAATCTAAATAAGAAAAGTAATATAATAAGGTTTGTCCATTTATTTATTTTTATAAAGATTATTTTTTTGTATTTGAACACTCTATCTGCCTGTAAAACTGCACACCAAAGGAGGGCATCAGATCCCACTATAAATGACTGTGAGCCACCACGGGGTTGCTGGGAATTGAACTCAGGACCTCTGGAAGAGCAGCTGGTGCTCTTAACTGCTGAGCCATCTCTCCAGCCCCCAGTTTTAAAAATTTATTTATTTTACATCCAGGCTGCAGTTTCTTCTCCCTCCTCTCCTCCCAGCACCCCCCCCAATCCATTTCTGTTCACAAAAGGGCAGGTCTCCCATGGATATCAACAAAGCATGGCATATCAAGTTGCAGTAAGACTAAGCACCTCCCCATGTGTTAAGGCAGGGCTAGGCAATGTAGTAAGAATAGGGTCCCCAAAATAAGTAAAAAGAGTCAGAGACAGCCCCTGCTCCCACACTGTTAGGAGTCTCACAAGAACACCAATCTACACAACCATAACACACATGCAGAGGCCTAGGTCAGTCCCATTCAGGCTCCCTGGTTGTTGGTTCAATTGCTATGAGCCCCTATGAGCCCAGGTTCTTGGATTCTGTGTTTTCTTATGGTGTTCTCAACCCCTCCGGCTCCTACAATCCTCCCCCCACCTGCCCTCCAGGGTTCCCCAAACTGCTTAATGTTTGGCTGGGTCTGCATCTTTCTATCAGTTGCTGGATGAAGTATCTCTGATGACAACTGGACTAGGCACCAATCTGGTCACAGGAGATGGTCAGGACAGGCTGTGTATTTACTATTGCTAGGGGTCTAAGCTGGGGGTTTTCCTTATAGATTCCTGGGAGACTCCCTTTTGACAGGTTTTTACCTGACCCCATAATGCCCCCCCTTCCAGTAGTCTCTTTCAATACTCTCCCCCTCTGCCCTGCCCAACCTGATTGCTCATGTTCCCATCCCCACCCACCCTCAATCTAATCAAGAAGTCTCTTCTATTTCCCCTTCCCAGGGAGATTTGGGTATCCCCTCATGAACCTTGACAAAGAAGCCAAAATTATACAATGGGGAAAAAAAGCATCTTCAACAAATGGTGCTGGTCTAACTAGATGTCAGCAGACAGACAAATGCAAATAGATCCATTATTTATATCATCCTGCACAAAACTCATGTCCAGGTGGACCAAAGACCTCAACATAAAACCAGGTACACTGAACTTGATAGAAGAGGAAGTGAAAAATAATCTTGAATGCACTGACACAGGAGACAACGTCCTGAATAGAACACCAGTAGCACAGTTGCTAGCACTGACAATTAATAAATGGGGCCTCCTGAAATTAAAGTTTTTGTAAGGCAAAGGACGCCATCAATAGGACAAAACAGCAGCCTACAGGTTGGGAAAAGATCTTCGCTAATCCTATTTCTGACAGAGGGCTGATTTCCAAAATATTTAAAGAACCCACTGAACTATACATCAACAATCCAATTAAAAAGTGGGGTTCAGAACTAAATAGACAAACAGTCACTTTGGAAATCAGTATGGCGACTCCTCAAGAAAATGGGAATGAGTCTACCACAAGATCCAGCAATTCCACTCCTAGGCATATACCCAAAAGAAGCACATTCATATAACAAAGACATATGTTCAACCATGTTCATAGCAGCATTATTTGTAATAGCCAGAAACTGGAAGCAGCCTAGCTGCCCCTCAACTGAAGAATGGATAGAGAAATTGTGGTACATTTACACAATGGAGTACTACTCAGCAGAAAAAAACAATGGAATCTTGAAATTTGCAGGAAAATGGATGGAACTCGAAGAAACCATTCTGAGCGAGGTAACCCAATCACAAAAAGACAAACATGATATGTACTCACTCATATGTGGACCGGCTTTATGATACATAGTAGTGACCATGCTTTATCAGAGCTGTTTTTAATGATGTTGCTCAGAATGGTTTCCTCCCAGATGATGACTGAGAAACTAATTTTAAAAAACAAAAAAAAAATGGTCCCAAGTACCACAAGAGTAACAGAACTGTGCTGTCTTCTGGGATTTTGTTTTTTACTTTTTTGTTGTTGTTTGTTTTTTTTGTTTTTGTCTGGTTTTTGTTTTTTTAAAAATGGAGTGTGCTGGAAAAAAAACTGTCAAGCAATAAAAACTATTGAATAAAAAAAATCAAAACAAAACAACAACAAAAAAAATGGGGTATAGATAAGAATCTCCAATGGCCGAGAATTACTTGAGATGTTCAACATCCTTAGTGATCAAGGAAATGCAAATCAAAATAACTCCGAGATTCCATCTTACACCTGTCAAAATGGCCTAATATCAAAAACACAAGTGACAACTCATGCTGGAGAGAATGTGGAGCAAAGGGAACACTCCTCCATTGCTGGTGGGAGTGCAAACTTGTATAGTCACTTTGGAAGTCAGTGTGGTGGTTTCCCAGGAAACTCAATCATACCACAAAGACACTTGCTCAACTATGTTCACAGCAGTGTTATTTGTAATAGCCAGAACCTGGAAACAACTTAGATGTCCCTAAACTAAGGAATGGATAAACAAAATGTGGTACATTTACACAATGGAGTATTACTTAGCTGTTATAAACAAAGACACCAGGAAATTTGTGGGCAAATGAAGGGAACTATAAAAAAATCATCCTGAGTGAGGAAACCCATATTCAGGAAGAAAAACATGGTATGCATTCCCTTATAAGTGGATATTGGCTGTAAAATAAAGGTTTTGTTCATTTATAATCCTTTATGATCTGAGAAAGTTTGGGGGAAATGAGCAATGTGCATAAAGCCTATATGAAAATATCTATACTTGACAGTCCTTAAGCCACTTGAATACCACTTGTTTACATATAAGTTTAAAATATGCTACTTAAATCACTTGTAATTAAGTATTCTGTGTTTCCAGTACGTCCAATAAGCCTTCCTGCTAATGGATGTGGGTGCAATGAATTGACAATTGTACCTAATTCCAAACTAATCATATATATATATATATATATGTTTTAATTATTATTATTATTATTATTATTATTATTATTATGTTTTTTTTCTTTTTGGTTTTTCAAGATAGGGTTTCTCTGTGGCTTTTGAGGCTGCCCTGAAACTAGCTCTTGTAGTACTCTGAACTCACAGACAGCTGCCTGCCTCTGCCTCTCAAGTGCTGGGACTAAAAGCGTGCACCACTGCCCGGCCAAACTAACCATAATTTTAAAGACCTTTGAAAATGATGCTTACACAAGCCAACCTGAGTTCATCATCCCTTTAAGTAAGGGCCCTCAGCATCAATCATTTGAACAGGCACTGAGTATAAGCTGGGAAGGAGTGACTGTACCACCAATTCCTTGTATTTGGTTTTCTAAAAGATTTGATAGTGGGTTGCCTGCAATCACTTCCTCCTTTCCCCCATGGTATTTAGCCCAGGGCTTCACACATACTAATTAAATACATTACCACTGAGCTATACTTCTAGGGCCTGTTCTTGCTTTCCTGCCAAATATCCACCCTGTGTATTTCAGTATTTGTTTGAAAATTATTTGATAATAAAATCATATAATAAAAAATAGGTACCTATAGGCCTATCTCAAGACTGTGGCCTGCAAACCAGCTCTGCCCAGTGAGTACTACAAACTTCCATCTGCCCTTGCTGCCATCTACACACACATAGGTTAGCTCTAGACTATGGCTCGCCTAATGGCTTTGCCTGGTTTAGACCCAATCAAAAAGAGCATGTACCATCTTTATCTTGCTTAGCTCTGGTCATGCAGTTCCTGTACTGGCCCAATCAAAAGCAGGCCGTACACTTCATAAGTACAACCAGGATCAAATGTCCAGGCCCCACTGCAAAAGCAAAACTGATATGAAAAGCCAAGACAACATATCTCCTATAAAACCTACTACTCCTATAGAAATGTTCTCTCATGAGAATTACTTAGATGAACCCCAGAACACAGAACTTAAAAGAACCATAAATTTTATCAAACAATTTCAGTAGTTTAAGAAAATACAAAAACAACTCAAACTTCAATAGGATTAATAAATACCTGAGTGCTGTCCAAGAAAAATACAGACACAGGGCTGAGTAAGATGGCATCTTTAAACTCAAGAGAGAGCCTTACAAGTAGAATATGGAATATCAGGACGCAGAGTAGAGGAATTAGACCACACAGCAAAGAGTATGACTTTTTTTAAACCATAGGAAAGGAACTTGGAGGAACAGTGAGAAACCATGACAAAACCAAACCTTTCAAATTATAGGCATAGATGAGGAAGAAATATCCAGATCTTCAAGATCATAGAAACTTCCTAAACTAAAGACATACCTATATAGATACATGAAGTGCAGAGAACACCAAATAATAAACTCTTCATGGCATATCATAGTTAAAATACCAACTACGCAGAGCAAAGAAAAAATACTGAAAGTTGCAAGAGAAAAAACACAAGTAACATATACCAAGCAAAACTGTCTGCCATAGTTGAAGGAGAAAGAAAAACCTTTCCATGATCCAAACAATATGAAAGAATTCATATCTAGCAGACCTGCCCCACTCAGAATACTGCTGTAATACTTCAGTCTGAAGAGAGGAATAAGCACACCCAAGAGACTGAAGAAAGAAAACAAATGAAGTTATAATTACTGAAACACAAAGAAAGTATAAGTGAGAAAACAAAAGACTAAAACCAACACACACCTTTTGGTAATAATTTTCTCAATTCTCCAGTCAAACGAATGGATGAATTATGAAACTAAATCCATCTTTCTGTTTAGAAGAAACTAAGAAACTCAGCTTTCAAGAAAGAGTACCACATTAGAGTAAAAAGATGGAAAGCAGTACTTCACAGTACTCTGTGAGTTCGAGGCCAGCCTGGTCTCCAGAACAAGTGCCAGGATAGGCTCCAAAGCTACACAGAGAAACCCTGTCTCGAAAAACCAAATCTCTCTCTGTGTGTGTGTGTGTGTGTGTGTGTGTGTGTGTGTGTGTGTGTGTGTGTGAAATTGAAACAAAACAAAGAATGAGTCTAATAATAATGAGTAGACAAATAAGCTCCACAGACTGTTGGCTCAGCTAGCCAAATGAAAGAAATGAACAGAGAAACATTACAACAGACACAAAGGAAATTCAAGATGTTATAAGGTGATACTTTATAACCTGTACTTCCGCCAGGTGGGGGCGCACACCTTTCATTCCAGCACTTGGGAGGCAGAGGCAGGGGGATCTCTGAACTCAAGGCCAGCCTGGTGCACAGATTGACAGCCCAGGACAGCCAGGGCTATACAAAGAAACTCTCAAAAGACTAAAAAACTAAAAACCTGTACTCCCAAATCTCTATCTAGGAAGCTAGTATTACCCCTAATTCTAAAACCAAGACCAGGTAAAGACATGAAAACAGAAAAAAAATTATAGGTCAATATCCCTGATGAACATGAATTCAAAATCCTTCAATAAAATACTTGCAAACCAAATATAGATACACATTAAAAAGATTATCCACCATGACCAACTTGGCATAAACTAGGAGATGCATAGCTAGTTCAACAATACAAGTCAATTAATGTAATAAGTCACATTGATGGATTTAAAGACAGAAATCACATTGGTCATCTCAATAGATGCAGAAAATTGTTTTTATATTCCTGAAAGTCCTAGCTGCAGCAATAAGACAATTAAAAGAAAACGAGTAGGGAAAGAAGTCAAACTATTTCCATAGCAGATGATGCTAGAAATGATCAACAATTTCAGCAAGTGGCAGAAGGCAGAATCAACTTGCACAAGTCAATAGGTTTTCCATATACACCACCACCCAAATCACAAACACACACACTCCTATTCACAATAGCCTTCAAGAAAGAAAATGTCCAGGAATAAACCTAAACACTTAATCAAAGAGGTAAAAGACCTCTACAATGGAAACTTTAAACTTTGGTAGAATTAACATTGTGAAAATTACCAATAGTTATTTACATATTCATTGCAATCCTAATCAGAGCCCCTATCTCATTCTTCACAGCAATAGAAAAAAAAAAACTATCATAAAATTCATATGGAACCACTCAGGACCCTGGATAGCTAAAACAATCCTGATCATAAAGAACAACACTGGATAGATTACCATTCCAGATTTCAAGATATAATATAGAGCCATGATAATAATATGGTACTGGTACAAAAAACATATACATAGACCAGTGGAACAAAATCAAAGACCCAAACATGACTACATATATCTTCACTCACTTAATATTTGACAAAGATGCCAAAAAGACACTGGAGACAAAGCATCTTCAACAGATGGTTCTGGGAAAACTGGATGTCCACATGTAGAAGAATCAATTAGGCCTGTATCTATCATCTCACACAAAACTAATCCCAAATGGATCAAAGACCTAAATGTGAACCCTGAAACTGCTAGAAGAAAACACAGGCAGTACCCTAAATGAAACAGATGTAGGAAAGGACTTCCTGACCAGGACTCCATTTGCCCAGGAATTACAGCCAAAAATTGACAAGTGATTTTCCATAAAACTGAAAAGTACAAGGGAGGGAAGCAATCAAAAGTGTTACTCAGTGGCTTTTTGGAGCCCATTCCCTATATAGGGTTACTCTCTCAGCCTAGATAAGGGGGGTGGGGGTGCTCGGTCCTTCCCTAAAGGATGTGACAGACTTTGATGATCCCCCATAGGAGGCCTCACCCTCTCTGAGAAGTGGATGGGGGTGGGATGGGGGGATGGGGGAAGTGGGAGTCTGGGAGGGAGAGAGTCCTAGGATTGGTATGTAAAATAAGATTGTTTTTAATTTAAATAAAAATTAATTTTAAAAAGTGCTACTAAGTTGTGATGCCTACTATGAACTATAATAATCACCAGCATGGCAAGTTATCCCTAAGGGGGCAATAGTAGCACTCTTATCTTAGAGGTAACCAGCAGCTGTCTAATTTCAACAGGAGGGAAATCAAAATCATGCCTGGTACATGAAACCTAGGCAACTACCCAAGGTCAGTGAGGTCATGAATTTTAAAGGATTACTGCTACTTTTAAACCAACATAATCCCTAAATATATTCTACAGAGAGGCTTCGTCTATATGGCGGCCTAAACAAGAACAGCATTAATAGGTATGCTAACATGGAAGGGGGGGAACTCCATGGGGCCCCACCTCTAGACGAGAGGCGGGGGAGAGGACTTCCTTACCTCCAGTCACCAAGGAAGACCTTCTTTTCTTATTACATATGCTTATTTCTGTGTTGCTTGGCTTTTATAATAAAGAGAATTTTGAGTTAAGAAAATACTTCCCAGGAAATCTTTCAATTTTAATATTTAATCTGTTTCTAGCTGAGCACATGAAGGACATGTGAAGTGAGAAGACAGGGAAGACAGGGAGAGAGGAGGGTGAGGGACATCCTGATGGCCCAGCTTGCAAGTGGCAAAGGCTTGAACTGTGACTCTGGAAGCAGGAATAACATTCAAGGAAGGCAGACATGCAAATTTCCCTGTCTGCACTGAGGTAACCAAGGTGCAGGCCAGGAAGAGGGGCAGCAGAGTGAGGAGCTCATTGGGCTACTGCAGTGAACTGCTACTTGCTGGGAAGAAACTTCATCAGGTGGGACAGGTGGGCCAGCCTAAGAATACCCCGGAATGTCTGAACCAGAACTGCTGGTCTTCAAAGGAAGACTTACAACAAGGATGGGCACAAAGTAAAAGTGGACAGGAAGCAGCAGAGACATCTGAGGACTAGGCGGTAACTGAGTCTTTAGCAAGCTGGTGTCAGCTTGAGGTTTGCACTTGGTTTTTAAAGGTTTAAACTGGTGGCGGGGAGCATCATAGTTCAGTGGGAGAACACTGGCCCAGCACTTATCAAAAGCTCACACAGGTGACAAAACAGAAACAATCCAACTCACCATGCTTCTTAGCAGCTGGTTCTAAATATGATGGTTAAATTTTCAAGATCTTCACATTTTAAATGCAGTTCTGTCAGCAGGGTGGCTATAAACTGTGTAAATACCACATTTTTCGGAGAATGCTTCTGAATGCCAAGAACTGGTGTCAATCTGAAACCAATAATAGTAAATATGTATGAAGAAATGAGAAGGGCTGGAGGACACATCTTCAACTTGCCACGGTGACTCTCCTGAGGAGGGAGATGTTTCTCTCCTGAGGAGGGAGATGTTTCTCTGAAATAACAAAATTCCTAGAGAAATGCTTTACTAAGATAGAAGACAGAAAGACCAACAATGCCTGTCCAATAATTAAGGATGTCTACATGCCTACTAACATGCTCATTAAGCCAGCAAAAATTCTTAGGATAAAAGCAAAATGAATAAAATTTTCATTTGTAGATTGGAGGTGATGGGGTAGCTCTGAAAAAATCTATATAGAATGTTTGGATTATACCACTTGAAAAATAAGATGACAAAAAGCAAGATTACCTTTTAGGATGAAACTAACATTTTAATTTTTTAAAACATTAAATAATATGTCATAAGGCATTTAATACCAATTGCATGCTTTTTTCCTTAAACCACTTTTGATAAATCTCTCCAAAGAGTGACATGTGTAATGGAGACTTAAGTTCTCAATGAAATGTAGTCAATAAGCAAGACTTTATTAGAAAACTTTTTCTTTTTTAATGTGCTGAGGACTGAACTTAAAGCTTTGCACATGCAAGACAAGCTATATTATAGACACTAAGATTTTAATAAAGTATGCAATGGTTTCATAGTATCTCCCCCAGGTGCCTTCATGGTGCCATGTCAGGGGCCATTCTGAGAAGTGAGATGGGAATTCGGACTAATACGGGGTTCAGAGATGCCTGCTAGTTTCATGTCTGGGCTTCCACAGACATTTCGTTGCACTGTATAGGGTTTAGCTGCCTTGTCAAATTCAACTTGGCTCAGTAGGGCAACTATTATCTAAGCCTGCTGAGTACACTATACTGTGGAGGATAAATATTGTGACCTGCACAACTGAAGGTGCTGTTATTGAGAACCAGGGTATAAGGGTGTTTGCCCACGTGATAAAATCAGTTATATTATTCCTGGTAAAACACACACACACACACACACACACACAGAGAGAGAAAGAGAGAGAG